CACTGACAAGGCTCTGATCTTGTAAAATGTGTGGTAAGTGCTGCCGCTGTAGTTTACACAGAGCACGTGCGATCGCAAATCTCGAAAGTGAAAGTAAAAAGCGATCGTGCATTCGAAAGCAGTTTCAATGCCCCGCATATTAATAGCTGCTCCCTGATGCCCGCATTTTATATACAGTATAATTCATTCTAGGGACAAATCCTAGGGTTGTAAATGGACATGTAAAAACGTTTTTTTCGGGAGATTTTTGCCCTTACCTAAGCCACATACCTTCTATGTAGATATCAGAGAACAATTTAAAATATTGTATAAATAGTATAATTAAAGATAAAGTAAAAACAAAAAAAAAACGTCTCAAATATATAGTCATCATTATGAGAAATAACGTGGAAATTACAAATATATGAGGTCACACTTTATTTTAAGGTCCAATTCTCATTATTTACAAACCATTAGCTATGACTTTTGCTTCAATAAACTTCTGATTTGCTGCTTATTTATAGTTAGTAAGTTAGGAGTTAAAGTAGTTAGTTGGGTAGGATTAGGGATGTAGAATATGGTAATGCAGAATATGTGCTTTTTAAGTACTAATAAACAGTCAATATGTTAATAATAGACATACTAATAAGCAACTATGAGAACTGCTCCCTATACTAAAGTGTTATATATATATATATATATATATATATGTAAACACACTTTAGTATAGGGAACAATTCTCACTTATCATCACAATTATCATAAACAAAGTAGCAATTGCAAGATAAAGTCAGAATTGGTGAATAAAAAGTCAAATAATAAGATATAAAGTCAGAATTATGAGAAATCTGAAATATGATGTTCAAATAACTAAAACATGCTTTCAAGCTTTCAAGAAAGGTCATTAATAAATCAGTGCGTATGAGAGAGTTTGAGCACAGGGGATTGGGGTGACAGCACTTAAAATAGATTTAACTGTGGGGGTAGGGTCTAACCCCGTGACCCCACACCCCCTCTGACTGTAAAGCAAGACACTTTCCCCCTACAAGCCCCCTCTTCAGAGCCCTCCCATATCCTGCAGAAAAGTGGATGGCCTCTCTCACCCTCCCTGTCAAGAAGAATACATATCAATCCAGCTAAACTGCTGACTCACGTTTCTGCATTATCATCTGTATCTGAAAGTCTGTTTCACTCACAAACATATTTCTAACAGATAATGCTGTTATTTTATTCCCAGAATCTGTCATCTCCGAGAGCATCACAATATTTGGTATAGATCTCTCCAAGCTTTTGTTTTCAGTGCCCACTTGCTCCCCCCATGGAACCACTTGCCCTTCCCTCCCACTACACCATCTATTATGCATTGAATTTCCAGAATGTTAACTGTTTAACAGGTCTCCTAGAAGGTTATAATCACTCTTTAAAAACAAGTTCGTTATAAGTTACTTAGAATAGAGAGCTTTGTTATGAATGATTACCAAACTTTTGGAGAACAAGACACAGGCTACTTACTACATGCATCGCTGTTAGAAAAAAAGGGTAAACATAGTTGAGGGACCAATTCTTACTATTAACTATTTGCTTGTTAGCATGCTTATTACTAGCATACTGGCTGTTTTTAGTACTTGTAAAGCACATATTAATGCCTTATTCTGCATGGCCATATTTTAGACCCATTAATCCTACCCCATACTTAAATTTAACAACTACCTTACTAACTACTTTGCAGCAAATTAGGAGTTTATATTGATATACAGATATATATATATATATATATATATATATATATCAAAGGTACAGATTGCACATGAAGAGTTTCAATATCACACACACACATATACATATATATGTGTGTGTGTGTGTGTGTGTGTGTGTGTGTGTGT